TGACATTGATACAACATTGTGATGTCCACAGTGTGCCAATCCTTGACTTACACTATGATACTTTTCATATGTCAAAACCTGCATATGTTGTTTGTATACAATGGATATTGATGTCACATTACAATGCTCACAATGACCCAGCCCTACATATGTATTTTACAAGTAATANCAAGTTTTTCTATTTGTAGTGCTAAATCAAGATTCAGAACATCTAGGTGAAACTGGACTTGTTCACATCAATCAGAGAAATTTAGTCTATTAAGCATTGAAATAAAAGAAGCATGCGAATGCAACGAAACAGGAACATACACTGCAATAACTTAAATGCTCACTACATTAGTGTTTTGAGTTATCTAACAGTTTAAACATGAATACGAATAAAATACATATTCTTGTAATCAAAAAATAGTGCTATCGTGACTCTCCTTTGAGTAGTAATCACAATATACTAATACATTAATAATCATAGTGATTCCCTTTACCTAATAGGTCTAATTAATGATACATCCATAATTAGGTAAGTCTGTTACCTTTGGGTGTCGAGGACTGATCAATCATAAATATACCCTAATTATCCTATTCCAGTTAATTAATCACTTGAAAAGTGGTGCACCTTTGGGCCGATTCCTAATATCTAAGTGATCAAGAAATTACGATTTACAAGTCATTATTTTAATACCTTGGTAATGGGTATTAAAATATCAATAATATGATTCAACATCTATGAGTCATTCTAATTGGGTAATTTTGGCGGCTACCAAATTATATCATAAATATTACAAAATAAATATTACGAAATAAATATTACAATCAATTATACGATTCGACATCTATGAGTCATTCCAATTAGGTCACTTTGGTGACTACCAAATTATATCGTAATATAGATTTTAAATCAAATTATTGACATTGCACAAATAATTTGTTGGACAATAATTTAAACTATCATGATATATCAGAACACTTTTCGTAGCCAATAATAAAATGAACATAATCTGATATATGAATCAACATGCATGGCTATTGTTTGACAACAGTCCATAAATACGACATCAAATTATATATGTAACTCTCTCAACAAACATTTAATGATCAAACAGTAAGGACAGATAATGT